CCCAGCTGTCCTGGAACTCACTATGTAAACCAGGCTGACCTTGAACTCACATCCACCTGCCTCTGCCTCCCGAGTGCTCGGATTAAAGGCGTGCGCCACCACACCAGACCTGGTTTGTTTTGTTTTATGAGAAAAAGTCATATATGCTAGGCTAGTCTCTAACTTACTATATAGCTGAGTATGGTCTCAAACTTCTGATCCCGCTGCCTCTACTGCCCAAGAGTTAGGATTACATGTCTGTGTCCTTATGCCCAGTTTATGTGGTGCTAGGGATTTTAAACCAAGGTCTTGTGCATGCTAGGCAAGCACTCTACCACCTGAACCACATCCCTAGCTCCACTTAGCTTCTATTATATATTGATTGCATTCATTTCAAAGAAACTCAACCAAGAAGGAAGGATGTACTGATAGTTTCTCGTAAGGTCTTTCCATTTTGTAGAGTGTTCTAACGGTCAATCCTTTCATCTCAATCTATTGCTGTTATCTCAGCTTAACTATCAAATGCTGTTGCATTACATCTAGAAAGATGTTTGTACAAAATTCAATATCTAGATTTGTTAACAATTTTAATGTACTCATTCCTTCCCAATATATAAAAACCTTAATACACTTTCATTATCCCTACTGCATATCAGAAATCATACCCTGTACCCATCAGCAACTAAGAAGTCCCAGGATTATAGACAAAGGGCCCAACTACATGATAGCGATGAAACAGGAGAAAAACCCAAAGAGGACTTCCAGAATACAACCTCTGGGATGGAGCTCCCACATTATATTCAGAGCTTTGAAATGAGAGTGGACCACTGATGCTCCTGGTCCTAAAAGCCTAAATGAGCAGTCACATTTTCCCTAGGACCTTCCACTACTTTGGGACTCAAATCTCAACATATACTTTCAATTAAAAATGTCCTGAAGCTAGGTGATTGGTAAAGTGCTTGGCTTGCAAGCATAAGGAACTGAATATAACACACAGAACATGAAATGTTAATTATGGGGGCCCAGGCATGGTGGCACACACTTTTAACCCCAGCAATCAGAGATAGAGGAAGGCAGAACTCTGTGAGTTACTAGTCAGCCTAGTCCACACAGCAAGTTCCAGGCTAGCCTAGTCTACATAGTGAGTTCCATTCCAGTCCAGCCAGGGTTATTATATAGTAAGACTCTATCTCAAAAAAAGAAAAAAAATAGTTGAGTATGGGTTAGCTCAACAAAGAAGAGATAGCTCAACAGTTAAGGATGCTTGCTTTTAAGGCTCTGTTCCCAGCACCTACATGGCAGCTCACAACTATAACTTCAGTTCCAGGAGATCTGATGTTCTCTTATTTCTGCACGCATCAAGAATACTTGTGGTGCTCATACATACATACATACATACATACATACATACATATATCACACATGCAGGTAAAAACTGACACATATAGAATAAATCTGCAGAAGCAGGCACATCTCTGGGAGTTCAAGACTAGTCTGGTCTACATGATGGGCCTGGTGAAGCACGCCTTTAATCCCAGCTCTTGGGAGGCAGAGGCAGGCAGGCCTATGTAAGTTCAAGGCCAGCCTGGTCTAATTGAGGCTACAGACAGGGGAGACCCTGTCTCAAAAAGACCAACAATTAATTAATTAATTAATTAATTAATTAAAATAATTAAAAAAGCAGCTTCTTGCAGAGGACCTGGGTTTGATTCCAAGCACACCCACAGTGGATAACAACTAAGTCCTGGGTATCTGATGCCCTCTTCTGGCCTCCATGGACACTGCATATACTTGGTATACTTCCACACATGCAGGCAAAACATATACATAAAAATTTTAAAATTATAAAAAGTGCCAGGCGTGGTAGTACACACCTTTAATCCCAGCACTCAGGAGGCAGAGGCAGGTGGATCTCTGTGAATTCAAGGCCAGCCTGGTCTACATAGTGAGCTCCAGGACAGCTGGGGCTACAGGGAGACCCTGTCTCAAAAAGGCCAAAAAAAATAAATTAATAAAAATTGATTTTATAGCTTATAAAATTGTGTATGTGTAAAGAGAAAAATGGACCCCAAAAATGAACCCTTCAAATATGCATGGCATCCTGAGAATAACATTAAAAGAGTTAAACAGGTTGGAGCTAACAGTAATCTGGTGAACAATTACATCTTTCTTTTTTACCCACTAACATCTAACAGGCATCCAGACTAGGGGAAGTGACATGAGAAGGAAAGGAAGCAAGGTAAAGGGAACTCTTTCGCCCCCCCACCCCTACAGTCTTTCCACCCCTCTCTCTGGTTGTTATCCCATAGCGCCCATGTGGAGGTCAGAGAACAACTTGGAGGAATCAGTTCTTTCCTACCACCATGTAGGTTCTTGGAATCAAACTCAGATCCTCAGGCTTGGCAACAAGAGTCTTTACTCACTGAGCCATCTTGCTGGCCTGAAATATTTCAGTCATTTAATACTTTAAGACTGAGTAAAGTGACAGGTGCAAAAATGGGGACACTGGAGAACGCAATTCACAATAGTGACATGCAAAATCTGTGAGACTATGAAGAGAACACAGAGAGGGGAGTGAGAGCTGGAGCAAGACTGACAAGGTAGAGGTTGAGGAAATGGCTCAGCTGATTGACAGTGATTGCTGCACAAGCATGAGAAGATGAGTTAAGATCCTCAGCACCCAAGTAAAATCTAGGCATGGAAGATTCATTTCAGGGATCAATTTAGTAGTTTGTTACTAGAGAAGTTTTTCTGATTGTGTAGAGTACCAGCTACCATGAGGAATTGGAGCAGCACTGTAACTCAACACTGACAGGGCAGGCAGATAGCCCTAGAGCTTGCTAACCAGCCAGTCTAGCCAATCAATGAACACCAAGATCAATGAGACCCTGTCTCAAAAAGTAAGGTGGAATGGCTGAGAAAGACACTTGCTGTCACCTCTGTCCTCCACACGAAAACATTCCAATGTCAGGGTACAAGAATACAAAGTATACCAAGGCTAGTAACTATGGCTGACAGCTTTCTGGGAAAGGGTATGAAGAACTAAGGGGGTGTGAAATAAGAGCAACAAATGTTGGCTCTAGGGACAGTGCTATTTTGTATGTTTTATGGTGCTAGTGAACTGAAGCCAGGGCCAGGCACATGCCAGGCATGTACTCAACCACTGAGCCCAAGTCTAAGGCAGCATTATTATAAGCTTGAAAACTGCCTGAGAATTGTTCATGGCTTGTAATTATACACAATTTATAAAAATACTCTAATCCCTAACCCTATGAAGATATCATAAAATATTTTTAAAAAGCATCTGTATCAATAAACCTGGCTGAAGGTTTCCAACAGAATTACTAAGAGCCTCATGCCAGGCAAGCATAATCTCTACTATATGAGCTAGGCTCATTCCCCATGTGTTTCTATATTTTCATTTTGACAATAACATCCATACATGCCTAATTGTAAAGGCCTTGCCTTACTCATGCCATTATCAATTATTGCTTTACTCCAAGTTAGTCTTTTCAGCTTATGTATTATGACTTTTACAAATCTTCTTTACATTTACCTTTTGTGAAATCATCTATTTTAGTCCTAACAGAGTACAGACTAGACAACTTCTGAAAGCACAGCTGATACACATAACTACTGTTAATAGGCACAGTACCGCAACATTAATGCTATACACTAATAAAATAGCAAAATTTAATCAAAATGTTAAATACCTTTATAAAGTACTCTATAAACCTTAGCCAAGATTACTTTGTTCAACAAACAATTCCATAAATATTCAATAAATAAAGCACCAAATATAGGAGTATAATAGGGAAGTTACCAGGCTGAGCTCTAGAAGTGTCAAGAGGTCTGTACAGCTTAGGGAAAAAAGAGGAAAAAGCAGGGTCAACTAGTAATTCCAACTTAAACAAAGTTAGTACACCCTCCCCATAAGTGACATCCATTAGGCCAACTCTCACACTGAAGGAGTAAAGCCAGGAAAAGCTGCACCAGTAACTGTCTTCCCCTGGAACTGTTATCCATTCTCACCGCTTCTAAGGCACTAAGCTGCTTTCCCAATAGAGAATGTGTGGGTGGGGGGATGATTTCCTAGTGAACCAAACTTCTTTTCTTGGACTCATTATCCAGAAATATTTGGGTAATATAATGAAGTAGGGGTTTCTTTCTTGTTTGGATATTTTTTGCAGGGGAGGCAGGGTCAGGTTGAGACATGTGTCACTTTGTAGCCCAGGCAGCTGGGAACGTCAGTATGTAGACTAGCCTGGCCTGGAACTCACAGCAATCTCTGCCTCAGACTAGAGTTACAAGAATGAGTCATTAATTGAGCTATACTGTTTATTATGTTTAACTTTTTATTATAGTCATCTATGTACTGTGTGTGTCTGTATGTATGCAGAAGACAGCCTGTTGGAACCACCTTTCTCCCTCCATCAAGTGGGCCCCCAAGGACCAAACTCAGGCCTAACTTGGCAGCAAATGCCTTTACCCACTCAGCCAACCTACTGGTACCCTTTAACGTTTCCTTTTTTTGTTTTGTTTTATACCATTCTTATAGACAGGTACGGTGGTTCATGCCTAAAATACCTGCAGTTGAGAGGCAGAGACTTGAGTACAATAACAAGTTTGAGATGAGTCTTGTCTACAGTGACACCCTTTCTCAAAAAAGAAAAAATAACAAATCCTTATTGGCTCATTACTATTTTGCTTATTTTCTTAGTTGAACAGAAGTCATGTAATTCCTTATTTTATGTAATTTTTTTTTTTTCTTTTGAGACAGGCTTTCACTATTCCAAACTTGTTTTAAATTTGTTATGCTACTCAGACTGTTATGCTACTCAGGGTCTCCTTGTAGCCCCAGCTGTCCTGGAACTCACTATGTAGACCAGGCTGGCCTCAAACTCACAAAGATCCACCTGCCTCTGCCTACCAAGTGCTGGGATTAAAGGTTTGCACCACCATGCCCGGCATTATTTTTTTGGTCTTTTTTGAGACAGGGTCTCCCTCAGCCCCAGCTGGTCTGGAACTCACTATGTAGACCAGGCTGGCCTTGAACTCACAAAGATCCACCTGCCTTTGCCTCCCAAGTGCTGGAACTACAGGTGTGTGCCACCACACCTGGTGCTGATATTTTTTAAAATTTAATTAGTTTATTTATTGTGTCTCAATGCACAGGTATGAATGTATTGCTCTTCCAGAGAACCAAACTTTGATTCTCAGCAGCCACAATAGACAGTTCACAACTGTCTGTAACTCTAGCTCCAGGGGATCTAATACCTCTTACATCTGAGGGCACCAACATTCACATACACATACCCAGACACATGAATAAAAATAAATGTTGGACAGGGCTGGAGAGATGGCTCAGCAGTTAAGAACACCGATTGTTCTTGCAGAAGACCCAGGTTCAAATCCCAGCACCCACATGGCAGCTAACAACTGTCCGTAACTCCAGTTTCAGGGGATCCGACAGCCTCTTCTATCCTCCTCGGGCATTAAGTGACATGGGTGCACTTACATACATTCAGGCAATACACGGATACAAATAAAATAAAGATAACAAAATACTAAAAAAACAAAAACAAACAAACAAATGTTGGAGCTGAAGAGATGGCTGAGCAGTTAAAAGGGCTGGCTGCTCTTGCAGAGGACCCAGGTTTGGTTCCCAGCACCCACATGGCAGCTAACAATTACCCATAACTCCATTTCAAGGGGATCAAACACCCTCTTCTGACCTCTGTGGGCACTGCACGCATGGGTACACTCACTTACATGCAGCAAAATACTCAGACATATAAAATAAAATAAGTAAATATTTTAAAATAAACCTTTTTAAAAAAATCTTATTTTTATTTTATGTGTATGTGTGTATTGCCTGCATGTAGGTAAGTGCACCTGTGTTGTGCAATGCCTATGGAAGCTAGAAGAGGCTGTCGGATCCTCTGGAACTGTAGTTACGGACAGTTCTTAGCTGCCAGTGGGTACTGGGATTCGGACCTGAACTTCTGCAAGAATAGTCAGTGTGCTTAACTGCTGAGCCATCTTTCCAACCCTAAAATAAATCTTAAAATTAAAAAACCCAAAAAACCCCACATACTAGCTTGTGTCTCCCTAAGACATTAGAAGAACATCATTTTAAGCAAGCTGTAAAACTGATCGGCAGTATACAAAACAAAGTTAGCTGGGTGTGGTCACATACCTTTAATGCCAGGGCTAGGGAAGCAGAGGCAGGTGGATCTCTGTGAGTTGAGGCCAGCCTGGTCTACAGAATGAATTCTAGGCCAGACCACGACTTTAACGCCAGCACTAGAGAGGCAGAGGCAGGTGGATCTCTGTGAGTTCCAGGCCCACTAGGGCTCCAGGGAGACCCTGTCACAAAAACACAAAAAACAAACTTTATACCCTGTTATATCATAACATGATGCATTAAAAACAAACCACACCTGGCTGAGGTTGTAGTTCATTGGCAGAACATTTCCCTAGCTCTTGCAAGAATTCTGGGTCTGAGTCCTAGCATTGAAAAGAAAAAAAAAAGTTGATCACATTTATGGTACTTATGAAGAAATATCATACAGGGCTGGGAGATAGCTCAACAGTTAAAGGGCACTTGCTGCTCTCCCAGGACCCAAGTTTAGTTCCTAGCACCCACACTGGACAGCTCGTGACTGCCTGTAACTCCAGCTCCTGGGGATCCAGCGCCCTTCTTCTAACACACAGACATACATAAAATAAATCTTTAAAAAAAAAAAAATTATCATACAGGCCCAAATTAAAAGATCAAATATTAGCATATATTCTTCAAATAGGTAAATGCTAAAAAACAAGAACAAGTTTGCTGTACTGGGACAGACCTGAAATCCCAGCTACTCAGGAGGCCAGCCTGGGGTACAGAGGAAGTCTAAAGTGAGCCTAGAAAATTTAATGAAACCTTGTCTCACACACACACAAAGCTTGGCATGGTGGTTTTTAGTGCCAGCACTTAGAAGACAGGCAGGCACATTCAGCCAGCCTAGTCTAGAGTTAAGGCTAACTGGGGCTACAGGGAGAGTCTGTCTCAAAAAACAGAACACAACAAACAAAAACGTAAAACACAGGCTGGGGTAAATATAGCTCAGTGGTGTGACACTTGCCTGGCATGAGGATATAGCTCAGTGGTGTGACACTTGCTTGGCACAGATGAGAACTTGAGTTCAATCCCTGGTACCACAAAAACTTTTAGAACAAAATTTTCAAATTGAAGAATAATCCCACATTAAAAGCAACTGAAAAGACTGTAGGTATGGCTCATTGGTAAAGTTTTTACTCAATACAATGGAGAGAATCACAGGGTGAAGGGGGAGTCACAGGGAGGGAGAGGGATGGGGAAGAAGCCCAAGAAATAAGAGGGGCAGGAAAAGAGGCAAAAATGTAGCTAGGCGTGGTAGTATAGGCCTTAAATCACAGCACAAAGGAGGCAGAGGAAGAGACAGGCAGGTGCGAGCTGGCGGTGAGCTTGATTTATACACAAGCTCCAGACCAGCCAGTGCTACACAGTAAAACCCTGTCTCCAAAAAAATAAGAGCTATTAATGAAAACGCTGGTGTAGTCCCACCACTGGAGAGACTACAGTCTAAAATTTGTGACCAGCACTGATTACACAGAAAACTCCTGGTCAGGCCGGTGTTACATAGCAAAACTGTCTCAAACCAAACAAGAAGGCCGGGCGTGGTGGTGCGTGCCTTTAATCCCAGCATTTGGGAGGCAGAGACAGGGGATCTTTGTGAGTTGAGGCCAGCCTAGTATACATAATGAGTTCCAGGACAGCTGGGGCTACAGGGAGATTATGTGGGACTGGAGAGATAGCTCAGAAGTTAAGAGCACTGACTGCTCCTGCAGAGGACCGGGGTTGGATTCCCAGCACCCACATGTAAGCTACAAACCGTCCTCAACTACAATTCCAGGGGAATCCAAAGCCCTCTTCTAACCTCTGAGGCATTGCACGACATGGGTACACGCACATACATGCAGGCAATATACTCATATATACATAAAATAAAAATAAAAAATAAAAATTTGAAAAAAAAACCTTCCGTGAAGAAAAGAATTAAGCCCTTGAGCAAACGGTTTGGAAATCAGCTCAAAGACTGATAGAAGGCAGGGTAGGGGTAGATTACATTTCTAATTTGGCATTC